AACCAGTCTCTTCAGCTAATCATTCCTAACCTAAAATTTTTCCAAAACTTTGACTACAGACACAAATTTTAAAGTAACTGCTACCATTCCATCTAGTTAAGGGGAAAAAAAGTACAGAATTTTAGAGTGTGTATATATACAGGATGAGAAAAAAAGTACGTTTATAGTTGTACATGAAACAGAGATTATTCTTATATTATTAGTCATTAATTGTTGTATTATTTTCCATATGAACAACTGTAAACCTGCTTTTCTTCCAGCCTATATATACAATGAGGGGGGGAAATATAAAAGTAAGTACAGGCTACATCTTAGAATCGTAGCCATTGAATTTCAAACAGGTTTTTTTTTTGCAATTTTAAAATCATAATTTTGCTATTGAGGTTTATTCAGTCATTATCCTATCTAATAATAGACAAACATGGTAACTGACCATACCTTGCTATCCCTCCCATTGGCTAAGCAAAGCAATATGCAAATTAACTGCCAACAAAGATGGTGGCTAATTTGCGTACTGCAGGCAGGACAGGACAGTGCAAGCCACCAGCATAAGGCCCTCCAGGGCAGCCCGGCCCCAGAAGACTCAGAAGCTGGGTGGTGCGGCCGCCAGCTCAGTCGCTCCTCTGCATCCGGAAGCAGGAGGTAGCTCTTCACCTGGAGGCTTAAGCCCAAGGTGGGAGGTGCCATTTTCTATACGGAATGGCAGGGGGTGTGGTTAAGCACAAGGCGGCACCCTGTTTGCATACAGAGAGGGGGCGTGACTCAGAGCTGGGCAGTCCCACATACAGAGAGGCAGGGGCATGGCTCAGAGTGGGGTGGCACTATGTCCAGAGAAACGGGTGCTGAGGCCAGGTGCTCCCCTCAGGATGCCAGCGGCGTAAGAGGAATGCAAGGTAGAGGAGGTGCGGCTTCAGGCAAGTGAAGGAAAAGTGCAGGTCGCCCAGCCGTGACACCGTTCCAAGCTTTCCCGCCCAGGTTTACAAATGTACTTATTATTTCAGATGTTGTAGTTGCACGTAGTTTATTCCCTTCCCCTCATCTTGGGTGTTAAGGTTATGCCCACCCTGGGCAGCCAGGCCTCACGTTCATGGCACAGATGAGGTTTGGTTCTGGGGTCACCCCTTAAATTTTAAGTGGCTGCTACACTTGGTCGATAGGAAGAGTGAGACTTTAGCCCTGAAAAGACGGAAGGCTTGGGGCAGACGGTTCCCTCGAGGGCTCAGCCCGCTTTCGGGCCGTGGCACAGGGCATGTCCAGAGCAGCCCCCGGAGCAGGCGTCCCTCTGAGCTCTGACTAGGCCATTTTGCAGCCTCCCCTTCCTCCGTCCCAGGTGGTGGGGGCCATGACTGCCTGGAGGCTGCTCCCTGGAAGCCATTCTCCCCTCAGCCTGTAGCTGTAAAACAGCACATGCGAAGAGAACCTTTTTTTGTGCCTCATGTTAAAAAGTTTTTTTTTTTAAAAAAAAGGTGCGTGACTCCTCACTGTGTTCATTTGTAAAAAAAAAAAAAATGCTCTTAAGACCCCGGGCAGCGAGGCAGCCTGGCCCCAGAAGACCCAGAAGCTGCCTGATATAGTAGTAACTCTATCAGTAAGCATTCTGAAAGTCAGTGGCATAAATGCACCAATTATAAGACAGATTATGAGGGTGAATCAAAAACAAAACCCACTTTAAATATAAAGCCACATATAGATTAAAAGTAAATGAATTAAGCTGCAGCCTGTTTTGCTCAGTGGACAGAGCATTAGCTCTTGGACTGAAGGGTCCCGGGTTAGATTCTAGTCAAGGGCATGTACCTCAGTTGCTGGCTTTATCCCCAGTCCCTATCAGAGCATCTGCAGGAGGCC